CGAATCGACAAATCAAAGAATTTCTCTCAAAACTTTTTATATTTCTATAGATAAGCTTAATTTATTTTAATGGTGAAGGAAATATAACACGGAGAGCATGTTACGACAACAAACAGTCGTCCTTTATTTAGCTTTGCAAATCTTTAACAATTCGGTTGTTTTTAACCAAGTTTTTCGTTCAAGAAAAATGCAGCTTTGTTCGCTGCATTTCGATTCGATTTCACTATCACTGCATGGATTTTATTATGGGAGACACTATTTTCATCTCGAATAAAAAATAATTGAAGATTTTTTCCCCGATCTTATTTTTACCTTTCAGTTTCATTCAAATTGTTCTCCCTGTGACTTCCGTATCGTGAGCTCCGCATTTAGGCAGTGCCTAAATATATATATTAGAAAGAGTTTGTTGTGACCCCTGAGAAGTATAAGGAAACCAAAGAGGCGCAACAAGAGATCCCATAATCACTGTTTAACCATTTCAGACCACGTGTCATTCCCTAGAGTATTATTTCTCTGTTTAAGAAGACACATAAATATGGATAAAACTCCAACGAAGAATCTTATTCTCAAATGAGTGACACGTAGTCTGAAATGGGCAAAAAATGGGCTTACAAGACACTGAGTCAAGCACGTTTGAGGGAGATTTTATAGTTACCAAACTTTGTTGTTTTTTTCTTTCTTTTTTGTTAACAATCTTTATTTCCTTTGCTTTATATCTTATGTCACTTTTCACTAATAACCCTTTCCTTTCTTAATTAATTCGGCTTTGTCACGCAATTCCATTTTGATTTCAATTTTTATAGAAAGAGCTTGTTGGGACCCAAGGGAAGAATAAGGAAGCCAAAAGGCGCCACAAGAGATCAGAGAATCAACAATATACCTAATCCACTGTTTTCCCATTTCAGACCACGTGTCATTCCCTAGAGTATCATTTCTTTGTTTAACGGTTGCACATAGGAAGACACATCGATATGGATTAAACTTAAACAAAGAATCTTATTCTCAAGAGAGTGACACGTGGTCTGAAATGGGCAAAACATTACGTCCAAATGGATTACGTCCATTAATGAACCACAACCCAAGGCTCCTTCAGAAGAACCTTCAAGTCAAATGCATAATCATACTAGCTGAAAAGCTCAATAAATGGCGAATATTTGGTGTAATTTTACAAGCCATTTTAAATTTATTTAAATATTAAAATATTCAAATAAATTATCTATAGGTTTGCAGATAGGACCCCGCAATAACAGGCGAAAGAAGCTGCTTTTTCTTGAACGAAAAACATACGATAGTTGATCAAACCAGCGCCTTAGACCACTCGGCCGCGCTACCCTCATTAAGTAAATAAATTAATAGCCAGGAATTTTATCTGCGCAGGCGTTTCTCAAAAAGGGCTTTTAATGCCGCGCTGTGGCACACGGGAAACTTAATGGCAAAATGGCTTAAATACTTACTAAATATTCTCATTGAATAAATTAGCACGGAGCAGTATAAGTTAACTCAACGCACATGACTTATTGCACAACGTCGTTTGGAGCTTCAACCCGGAACGCTTAGGCAACACACACCGAGCTAGGGAAGTTCATGGTGAGGCAAAGTTTGCACTATATATATGGTTAACGTTGTACTAGAATTCATTCCTTTTGTAAGTTGGCTAGCGAAAAATTTCACTTCACTCACAAGTACTCGTGAAGATTCCGGACCTGGAACTCAGGGAGTTTGGCATTAAAGGAAGGTTTTACAATCTTAAAAGAGTTTATGGGCTTGGAACTCATGGAGTTCGGCCGTATATGTGAACGTTTTTCAATATTTTAAGAGTTTTCGGGCCTGGAACTCAGGGAGTTCGACCGTGCATGGAAGTTTTGCAATCTTTGAAGAGTTTGTAGGCCTGGAGCTATGGGAGCTCGGCCGTGCACGAAGAATTTGTTTACCAATAAGCCTGAAGCGAGATGACGTTTTACCCCCGGAAACTAAAGAACATAGCTATCACAAGCCTGATTTTTGAGTTTTGGATGTGGTATTTGAGTACTACTATCTGGAATTATGAGTACTGGATGTGGGAATTTGAGTGTTGGGATTTTGAGTATTGGATATGGGGGTTTGAGTTTTGGAAATGGGGATATGGAGTTTTTGAAAATAAGGTGTTAAGAGTATAGGCACTAGGCCATATACCATCTCGTCTGGATACCTCGATGTGGAACCAGGAGCGGATTTCACCCCATAATTAACTTCACTGCGACGTGATAATGGATTCAGTGAGGATACACCTAATTGAAAAAACGTTGTCGGGTTCGAGAAGGTTATATCATCAAAGCTAAGAGCGAAGGAGAGCATGGGAAGACAAACAATTATGCTAATTTCATGCGTATTGCAATTTTCCCTTCCTGTACACATTTTATGCGTCATGGCTTTGGCATGTTGTTAATCTAGGTCGACCGAATTTGCTCTACTGTGCATTTTTACATGTCTATATGCAAATATAATACACATTTTGGAGTATCCAAAATCCTCTTCGGTCTCAGCTTCGATAATATGACCTTCTCGAACCCGACTACGCCTTTTCAATAAGCCTGAAGCGAGATGACGTTTTACCCCCCGTCTCTAGACCATAATAGTTTTTAAAATTCTTTCATATTAAAATTTTTGATTCCTTAGAGTATACAGGAACAATAGTCATAATTAAAGAACAAAAGCGGTGTGAAAAGGATTATGGTCTAGAGACGGGGGTAAAACGTCATCTCGCTTCAGGCTTGCTTCAGGCGGGTGTATATTACTATTGAGAGATAAGAATAACAAACCCTAAAGCCAAGAAGCACCGGGAACGAGAGTGTGTCTGGAACCCAGGAAACCCAGACAAATTAATAATAGCACACGGAACCAAACATTTTTTAGTGTAAAAAATGTAGTGTTCAGGCCGCAACCCTGCGCCAATGTTCAATAATGTTCAAACCAAATCCGGCCTGAATTAATAAAAACTCTTACGATCTTTAGTTCTTTCACCTGCGTTCTTAATGTTATGCATTAGAGGATGAATGAATGCGTATGCAAATTCTCCTACTGTTTTGCTTAATCGTTTTGGACTTGTAGTTTTAGGAGAGAAGATGATGATCACTTCAGCTGTGTCACTCTCCAACAGTTATTTAGACGTAGTATACTTGGGTTTGTACAAACAAAATATTTATGTTTATGCGCGATTCTATTGTAGAATTATGACTTTTGTGAACATGTGTTTTCATGCTTTTTTATTGAGTGGACATGGCATTAGGGCTTCAAAAAGTTACTAAGAATACTCTAGTTCTCTGGCCAAAGCTGAGTTATATTGTACTTCATCTGTTAAAAAATGTCATCAAAAACCACAAAAGTATTCACAAATAAGTACCACATATTTCCCAATCGCTATATTTTTTTCTTTCATCTTATTATGACCTTTATGACATTCCTAGAGCTAGGTCCTGTTTTCAAAGCCGAGTAAGAAATAATACAGAGACCCATTGCTAAAGATTGGACAGCTGCTTGGAACGTCAGTGGACCAAGCGAGGGGACTGACGCAGTCCAAAACTAAGTTCAGCAGGTTGAATTATCGATGGTTCACCCTTGCTCTTAGTTGACTAAGTCAACATTAGATAAATATATTGTACTGTAAATATGGAATAAGTCAATATGTAGTTATCCATTTTGGTACCCAAAGCCTTCAGCTATCAGGCGCCGTCCACACCATGCCGGGGGATAAATTTGAATCCGAATTTCTGTTTATTCAGTTAGGCCTACCGTCCACACTAGTCCGGGCGAATCCGGAACAATTCTTCACCGAAAACGAATTTTTTCGAATACGGTCTCCAGAGTGGAACAATTTGAAAACGCCGGCTAGCCGTATTAGTGTGGACGGAGAACATTTCGTATCCGAAGTTTTTCGAATACGATGACGTCATGATTGTCATGGGAACATGGCGGGAAGGCTAAAAATTCAGCGCGGTCTCAATTTCAGCTTCGATGCACATGCTCACATGTGCAATGAAGCGTTTTTGCCGCCTCTGACCGGACTAGTGTGGACGCGAAACATTTTATCCGTTTTCATGTGTGGACGGAAAACTTTTTTTTCGGTTTCGGTGTGAAAGTCGCGGATTCAAATTTATCCGGCATAGTGTGGACGGGGCCTCAAACGAAAAACCCAAGGTCCTGGTAATTTGATTAGTTTTATTTTCTTTGCATAATAATCATTTGTTTCCGGTTCGCTGATTTTACAGTGCATTTTATTTGATATTGTTTATACAATGTACAGAATATATAAGTAATCAAGGAAGCTAGAAGATATATGTAATCTATAAAACAAAGTAAAAGAATCAATTTGTGTCGGCTTTAGGAAAATTACAAATTTCCTACCTGGGAATCAAAACAAAACAATTCCCTGCTCTTGAAGAATGCAATTTTTTCAAATGCTAGAGACCGTTCATAATTATGTGGGGACGTATGGGTAGGGGGGGAAGGGGGGGAAGGCGTTGTTATGTGGATTTATAGTTTAAAGGTAACATCGTTTTGATAGCAAAACCTTTACAGACCTAATATGTTTTGCCTTTCCTACCCTACCCTTCAGAATTTCCAGTAGAATATAATCAATTTCTCTCCCCTGAATTTTCCACATAGCCCTTCCAACCCATCAATTATGAATGGTCCCTTAATGTATTTTATTGTTTTCTCGCCCAGGTAGGAATTTAGTATAGAAAGTCCAGAAGTTAATGCCTGTCAATCTCAGATACAGAAAAATGCCGAGTCTTATTACCTTAATAAAAAAAGTAATCAAAATTTGATTCTTTCTATCTTTATTTGCTTAGCTGTACCTCAAGGGCTGCTAAGTTGTTGGCCATCCAGCCTATCTATGGTTTAATCGATTCCACTGCGCATGCGATTTTATCCCGAATTTCTCACCATCTATTGTCTAAACCTTCTTTTGTTCTTAATTAAACAAAAGAAGGTTAGTTATTGGGGATAAAATCGCATGCGCAGTGGAATCGATTCTTAAACTATGAAAAGGCTTATAGTCCCCTTCACAGTTTTCCTGCGCCATCTTGAAAGGTAACCGTGCCTGTGCATCGACGCGAGGACAACGGTAACCTTGCAATGACTTGTAAACAATTGTCCAAGGTGTTAATGAAGGGTATCTATCAAGCACGGTTACCTTTCAAAATGACGAAGGGACTGACTGGGAAGACTAAGACTATTTTAATTGTTAAGTATAACATATACATAATTTTAGAATAGAAACATGTTTGTTTTATGTACAATATGATTTTTTGAATAGCTATAATTACAGAGTGACTGTATTCACCTGGTAGATCTACAATTTGGTTTACGAACAAATCTAAGCAGTTTAAAGTGATGAAGCAGGTTTTCCTTTAAAAGACCTTGGCTCTGGCGCGCTCAGGCGTAATGTTTTCCCATTTCAGGCCACGTGTCATTCCCTAGAGTATTTTTTCTTTGTTTAACGGTTGCGCTCGGTTTCAAATGAGGAGACATATCAATATGGATAAAACTTAAACAAAGAGTCTTATTCTCAAGAGAATGACACGTGATCTGAAATGGGCAAACATTACTCCCGAGCCAATGAGGTCTATTGCATTAATTTCTTCTCTAGTCTTTGAATGGCATTATTTCATGTAATGGGACCCCCTAGTAAAAGACTTGTCCTTGTAGGCAGCACTATAGGGTTATTCTACTCTTTAATACATATTCTGAAATGAATTGTAATCTCCATCGACTAATTCTTCGTTATCTTTGTGGGACTTCTTGTAGAACGTCTTCAGTTGATAAGCGATGGTCATTGGATGTTTTTTATACCTGATAAATGGAAAAGATGTCAAAATTAACAGCAAAGCTTCAAAACAAAAGTGCAAAGCAAACGAAAAAATCGCACAAAAAATCTATAAATATGAAACAACTGAAAAGTATAATAATAAAATGAAATAATAATATGGGATTTATAAGTGGTTCTCAGAGTGGCTCTTCATTCTTCAACTGAAATCCAAATGCATTTGGCAATATGGGGTAAAACCGGAGAACCCGGAGAAAAGCCCTAGAAGCACACGAGAGAATCAACATAGGAGAGAACCAACCAAATACGACACGTGTCCGAGAAACGAACCAAAATTGCATTGGTGAACGGCCAGCGATCTTACTGCTAAGCCAACCGTGTTTTACGAGAATAAAAAAATTTCTGGGTACCGTTTACATCTTTCACTTACACTCACCTTCGTGCCATATATATGGCAACTGCTGCAACTATGATAGTTAACATTAGCACCATGACCACAGCAAACCCAATCTTGAATACGTGAGATGATTTGATTGTGGTTCGAGTCTTAGTTTGAGGATCCAGGACCGGCGACGAAGTGTTGAATGGTGTTCCTTTGCCTTGTTTGACGAGCATGACCTCATATCCAGCAATACCGTCCCTACTACCCTTAGCAACAGCTTGACGGACCATTTTAGGATCGATGATAATAACTTTTTTATTGATTGTCTTGACCACGGCATATTCGACGATGAGAATGTTTGTTGCATTTGAAAGATGTTTGATGGGGTCATGGAAGATGATGATGTCATTTTGAGTAAATATCCAATGCTCCGATTTCTTGCTTCCCTGTGTTTCCCTTGGAAATAAAACCAAGATAATTTTTAAAACAGATTACACCTACTTGTAAGAACGTTGTCATACGAAAATAGAACATTAGTGATTTAGTGGGATAGGAATTATATTAAAAAACAAAAGAAGATCACTGAAGCTGAACGTTTTCTTTTGTCTTTTAATGTATTCCTTTCTCACTAAATCCCTAATGTTCTATTTTCGTATGACAACGTTCTTGCATGTAGGTGTTATATATAATTGCAAACCATAGTCCGGGGGATATGTGGGGGACTCCGATTGAGAGAGGGATCTGCAATTTAGTATTTCTTAGGATGTCACAAATCTAAAAGCACCACCAGTTACACGCGATAATATATGCAGTTGGAATGTTCTGTTGAGTATTCATGTGTACAAATTCAAACAAGGATTTGCAAGCTGTTAATCAATTCATGGTTCTGACTCCCCTTAGTTACCTTTGCTAAGTTACCTCCACAAGGTTATCAAATTATCCTGAATATCTCAAAATGTAAAACCTTAATTCCGGAAAGTTGAATCTTTTTTTTTTTTTTTTAAATAATTTGCTGCCCAGCCAAAGGAATAGAAAATTGCCTCGTAATCCTTGTAGTACTCTTTAAAAAAATATACTGTGTAGTTGTTTGTGGGACAATATCTTAATTCCATTGGTAAAACAGCTGCTACGGTGATTGGTTGTGCCGCACTCTTTAAAACATTTACCGATTGAGTTGTTCTTTACACTCATTGCAGTATTCATTGAGTATCTTTGCCAGAGATTTCTTGATCTGCGGTGGGTTCCACTGAATTGAAAAGAACAATATAATATCAATATAATTTGACATTTTTCTCTTATTCTCTCTACTTCATTGTACACACCGAACGCATAATTTATTACTACTATAATATAATTGGCTGTTAACTCAATGTTTGACCTTTTTACGATTTTTGATTAGCAAAATGATAATGTATAAACATGTTACCTTAATGTTGTCACTCCTTAGCACAATATCCACAACACCAGATCCTTAAAGAAAAAAGATAATATTAAGTTAATACGTGTGGATTACCTTTTTAGAAAATTCCCGAAATAACCTCATGAATTAGGTCAGGGCATGGCCGACCCACAAGTCGAACCCTGAAATAACCTCAGGGTTAAGTCAAGGCACCGTTAACTTTCAGATCGGAATGGAAATTAGGGTGTCAAGTTTTACAAAAGGAATGAAAGCTGTGGATCCCAGTAAAGGCATGCTCTCTGTAGATACACCACGCTTAAGTTCAAAAATGTTTTACAAATTGTTTTAAGAATATTAACCGGAATATTAAATAGTTATAATATCCGGACCATAGTCATAACTACCTACCAATAAATGTTTTGCAAGTCTTTCCAATAAAATAAGACGAGCATTTACAAACGAATTCCGATCCGTTTTTGCTACATTGTCCACCATTATTACAAAGATTGCTATCGCAAGGATCAACTTGGGTGGTGTTATCTGAAACAATCAAGACAGTTTGGAAATAACAATAAGCGTGTTCTGTCTTAAACATTACATAAACAAACTGGTGAATGCATCTTTTCTATGTGCTAGGGGGTTTTGAGGAGACAATAAAATAACTCCTTTAATTACCTATTATATTGTATTGAAAAGATAACTAGCTAAAAACTAGTGTGAGCTGCGTCGGTGTTTCTAATGAAACAGTAATGATAAAAGGGTAAATTTTACACCGTGAAAAGATGACGACGAAGGACTAGCGTCCGAAACGTCAGTAAGTTTTTTCATCTTATCACGGTATAAAATTTACCCTTTTATCATTATATTGTATTGTTTAATGACTTTCTTGTATTTTCTGGTGAGAACACTTTGGCAGCATTTTTTAGTGCGATTAAACTCATGAGAAGAGATAGAAACTATGCATCCATAAGAACGCTACAGAAACCTTTGTATAAAAATCTCCTACAGCATGATTTACGTTCCAAATAAGTTAAAAACGTGTTAGTCGTACTAACCATTTGAACACTCCACACTAGCAACCTTGCCAAAATCGTCACAACTGTGAACATTGATTCCAAGGTGAAGACAGAGAATGATGGATGCCTCGTCCCCTTGACAATTCACTTCATCGAGTAGCACATGTTCACTTCCTTTGGAAATCAAGGAGGTAGACTCTGCTCTTTGGTAACCGAGGTCACGGCATATAACGTTAGCAGCGTTCATATTCCATCTTTTACCACATACTGATCCCCATCTGCCTCTGTATTGGATTTGTACACGTCCTTCATTAGGTTTTTTACCGTCAGTCAGGCGAGAACCTTTATAATTATTAACGGGGTAAAAATTAATAAATGGTCATGCAGCCCTGCTAGGCCCTGTTCCAGTGCATGCAATATAAATCCCTTGAACCGAGTCCCGAAAGGAATTGTTCTGGGGGACAAAACAATGGATTATGATTATTTTTTGCATAAGAAAAGACGGCCTGTTTTTTTGTCCCCTGAACAATTCCTCTCGAGACTCAGTGCAAGGGGTCTGTATTTGCAAATATCAATCAAATCAAACCAACCAACCAAAAACGTTGTTTGAAAAATGTAAAGCATCTAGTTCATTATTTTCAAATACAAATTTAGCAGATATGTAATTATCTGTTGTTTTGTTGCTTTAAGATATTGTAAAATAGCAATTCATCATACATCATACAAGTCTTATTTTCAATTACGTCAGCGCACTTTTTAAATTCTCATATCAAAGGTGTATGTATAGGCTTTGCGCTTTCTATGTATTTAAAAAAATTTAAAGAAATTACTTATGTTCGACAAAAATATCTGTAAGGTTTGTTAGCTATTTATGTTTATGCACATTTTAAAATAGTAGTCAAATTTGTACTTATGATTACTTACCGAAGCACTCGACACCTGCGTCAGATGTTTGTATCTTAGCTGGCAAGTAACCTATGCTTGAATAATCAGTACAGTGAGAAAGCCTGGTCTCATTTCCATGACAGTGAAATTTAAAGGCCCAGTGTTGTGTATGTACTTTGCCAAACGTACCACCGGTGACTGAACTTATGGMGCCTGCGAATCCCAGCTGYCGACAAGCTACAGTTGCTGCAAAAATGTTCCAGCCATTGCCACCTAATGTCCCCCAAATACCAACGTAGTYAACATYGACACGTCCYCGGTAGTTGGTTGACGTTCCATTTAGACGCAGTTGAATTTCTGTCAAAAACCAAGAAGAAAAAAGCAACAATTATGAGAAATCTAATTGATATTTGTACCATATCAACTTATTTAAGAGTTACTTATGAGGCGTTGGAAATCAGCCACGTGTCAGGTATCAAAGGTCTTATAGAACTCTACTCACTCCTGATTGGCTACAGTTCGCTCAATGTAGGTCATAAAGTCAACTTTTTAAAAAGTGTTCGTATCTAGGGTGTCCACAATATCAGAGCATGTGGTCTTTATATTCGTGTGAGTATAATTATAAGTAACGTCTTTCATTCTCACCATTATCTGATGTCTTGCGAGTTTTACACACTACTGCAACATCTTGCTTGTGTAAGCACTTATTGTTACCCCATCCTCCGTGATTACACCTGGTGATTGATGGCTCTCTTCCAGAACAATTAATATCACTTAACCATACACGACCGCTTCCTAGACCAAATGCCTCGCCATCAGAAATAACTGTAATAGCGCCCTCATAACCCAACTGACGACAGACCACGTGAGCATTATTAAGTGTCCATTTATTTCCACATACAGTGCCCCAGCGTCCATGATGATAAACCTCTACTCGCCCAGCTCCATTTACGGTAGAAGACGCCAGTCTAATGCCTAAGAACGATAAAAATATTGTTACTATTTGGTAGGTAAAGAGGATAGCACCTCAGTTTTTGATTGCATAGATAGAGATTTGGTATATTTTGAATAGCCACTCTGGATAAGCGGAAAATATAATATTGTCCATTGTATGTATTTTGGAAAAGCAATCGATTTAAAAGGTTCTTATGTCTTCTTTGAAGTGCACTCCACTGAGGAGGGAAAATAATTGGGTTCCTCCTTAGCTCATGACGTTTATAACTTCCTAATTTTTTTTTAGGAAAGTTTCATTTTTTGTAGTAAGCGCAATGAAACATTAAAATTTAGTACTCCAAATAAAGCTCATTTCATAACTAAAAACAATTTTCAATTAAAAATAAAAGAAAAATTGTTTGTGCAGTAACAATTAAAGTATCCCACATTGCATCCACAGTGCAAATTTCTTATTGCCAACAACGAATAAACAGGTAATAAAAATTGCACGGCAGCTGAATATCAGTCTACTGAGCCGTTTACCTTGTATAAATACAGTTAATTAAATGATTGAAAAATTCAGTGAAATATAAGCTAAGAGCGGAAGTTTAGATACAAATTTAATAGACCTTATGTGGAAAACAATGAAAATATTAGAAGTCTTACTGTTCTTTGGCTTTTTATGCAGTGGTGGGGAAGCATTGGATGGCATCATGGTGCAATCTGATGATGCTGTTATCCAAATATCATCCAGGGCAATACGTATACTTCCAGTCAATACGGTCTCGAAGATAACCTAAAACAAAATACCACGAAGATTATTTTCATGTGTATGGAAAATACATCTGTGTAATTTACAGTCAAACTAAGAAAATTGTGAACCCCTAAAATATGTCTGATAAACTTCGTCTTCTGACTAATCGCATGCGAGAATGAATTCATTTTTTCAATTAATTGTGGAAGAATATTTTAGGTGTTCACTTTAGGTTTTCTTAGTTTGACTGTAACATCGTGATATGGAGAATAGTTGCCGATTCTCCCTAGACAGAGGCTAGTGTTGTTTACGTTTAGGAGGCACTAATCCACTCACAATGCCTACTTAGTATTCTATTAATTCTAAACCCACATTTTGATTTCTGTAGGGAAGGAAAACTGGACCAACCCGGAAACCCTCGTGACAGGGGAGAGAAATATTTAAGAGGGCGTCTCTGTAACAGCGTGCCACTCGATCTGGGCTC